GTCAGACTTCAGCATTCAGACTCAGTAAACGCCCGCATAGCAGCATACATTGAAGCATATTGACTTATCCAAAAATATCGACTTTGTAATTTAAAGAAGGGAATTGTTCATGTGTTGAACAATCAATGACTATGTACATGTATGTTCACAAAATGAACTGTGTATTGGCCACACACTAAATAAACAATGGCAGTAAAGTATGTTTACAGAAGTGACAATGACTTGGTAGGTTTGGAGACAAGAATTGGCTTGTTCAACAATAAGTGGCTGGTACATTTACAGAAGTGACAGTGAATTGAACCACAGTCCCTCTATAGATAGAGATAGATAGATAGGGATAGAGGGACTGTGAATGAACACATGTTAAACAGAATCAAGGTAGGTTTACAAAAGGGGACTGAATTGGAGCAAAAGCTTAATCAGTGGCATTGTACCTTCCCCCTACAAGTTTTATTTGTAAAGTTCGCAAAAAATTATAAAAGAGGTGAAAGATTATTAACCAAGTTTTGAATCAAAATGCATGTATATCTGTGACATGATGTATAACAGATGTCATATTTCTATATACATGTATATTGAACAGCATTCATAAATAAACTAGCCATGCATGGCACAGTCCCTGTTAGTTATCAAATTATACATGTAGTACCCCGGTAATATAGTTGGAACATATACATGTCAGAGATACGGATCCAAAAGCTGATGCTTGATTATGATTTTTTTAACATTAAAATGATTGACATTCAGTCATCTTGTATATGATCGTCAAATGAATACTTGTCCATATTGAGAGATATTGCTCTGAAACAGCATTAATTAAAACAAAATTTTGAATACATCTGTGTACCTATGGCATGATGTATAATGAATATCTAATTATTGAACTCGTAAGAGTCAGTCTAGAACCATATTCATTAAAACCAAATAGCTGCCAGTCAGCCATTTTCATTCTGATCTGAAAAACAAAATGATGTGCATCATGGATCCATAATGTCCAACATATGTATTATTATTATTATTATGTACCAAGTTTGAACGACATTCATTCATAAACAACCAAGATCTTGTTCCGGAATGCCAGAAACACTTGATTTTTGATGAATTTTAGCACAAAAAAGGCCACCATTCAGCCATTTTGAATCAGATCATGAAACAAATTGATGTGCATATGTATAATATTATGTATGATGGATGTGTGAAGTTTGAATAAAATTGGTCCAGGCAAGTCTAAGATATAGTCCAGATGCACACATGGACTCAAACAGAGGTCAATCCATAAATCTTCATTTTGGAACTGCATCCTAACGTGAACTAAAAATGTCAGTTGGTAATTTTGAATCAAATCTGAAACACAAAAAAATACATGCATTGAGACCATATAATGTTCAATGTATGTTCCAAGTTTCAATGAAATCTGTCCTTCCACTGTTGAAATCCAGTTCTGCAATTGAATGTTTGATTTAAAAGTACTTATACATGCAGCACAAAAATCTTTGCCATTTGACCATCTTGAATCAGGCTGTATAAGGAATGGGCATGCAATTTATATCAAGATCCATGATGTATTTACACAGTTTGAATATGATCAGTCCAGGCATGTCCAAGATACAGGCAAAAATCTATTTCTCGGACCAAATAGGCACTAATAGTACAGATGTTAAAAGAAAACATGCAAATTAATTTTTTTCTTTCATTCATTCATTCATTCATTCATTCACTTCAACAATAGGTTATTTCTTTGATGAGCACAGTATATGAAACGGTATATTTGCAGAAAGAATGAATTATTTACATAAACTGAAGGTGTTGTTAAACATTACAAATCACAGGATTGTGAAAATCAAAACATGACTACTTGAGGTGCATATTCCCCACATTCTAAATCATCAAAATCCCATTTAAATTTTCTAGTCAGACTTTTCTTAAATTTCCGACCACGACTTTTTAATTCTTCATGAGCAGATGAATCTTCTAAATTCTGAAAAAACTCTGTTAGACACGTTGTCAGGAAATTATTACTGGAGACAATATCAATAAAAAAGTCTTTAGGAATTTCCCCTAACTGAAAGTAAAGAACTGTGATGAATGAGTTGTACAAGTCAGAGTGAGTGGAGATTGCTTCTTGTGCACTGCACAAAAGATGAACTAGAGACTTCCAATGCTCAAAGGCATCATATACTTGGCCAAGTAAGAAGCAAATAAAAGCAAACTGCATTTCTCCTAACAGATCTAGCTTGTTGGCTTCATATTGTGATTCTATGAGAGTCTGTAATGAATAAGTGGAATCCATGTTGTATTTTGTCAGCTGTTCTGGATTGGCATTTGTGGGATGCTTTGTAGGAATCTCTGTGAATTTGATTTTTGTTTCTGGATTCACGTGCATTTGCGGCATCTGCTGCTCCACTGTTGCATCTTCTGGTAAACTTGCACGGATCTCAGCACGCTGTTCTGTAGTTCTAGATTCCTTGTCACCAATTAGTTCAGTCACAGACTGGATTTTTCCATTATCTGGGATTAGACTGTTCATTAGTGTCTCACTCACAAAAGTGCTCAATGATACCCATTGCTTTAAGCTATGATAGGGATAGGGACCCATGAAGGAATCAAGCTTCTCTGCGATTACACTTATACTGCTTAATTTCATCCTCTGTTGGTTGGTAATCAGATATATCTTCTAGCCTCACGTCCCACTTTTTCACAAGAATTTCCCTCTGTTTAAAATAATGAAAAAATCCAGTACGCATTCCAACATTGGTGGACCCCTGACTTATGGCGCTATAGTAGATGAAATGAAGACCCGGTGGTATCATCTTTACACCACGAAATCTTGTTCCAACAGTCCAAGAATTGTAGTCGATACCAAACTCAGTACCAGCAGGTACATCAAGAAAGACCAACATAGCACCTTCATCAAACAATTTTCTTGCAGTCTTTGGATCCATTGATGCTTCTTCCTTGTCATCTTTTTTAGTTTGTTTTGCTGCCATCTGAAAAATTAAACACAAAGAGTTAAGCTACATGTACTTTAACTTAAAACAAACAGCCTTCTTTCAGCTGAGATAGCTCTGTTGTTAACATTTCATGTTTCAACTGAAGATTTCATTAGAAAATGTAGAAATCTGAGAAAGGTCTACCTGTAGTACCTATACATGTATGTATAATATCAAAGCAATCAGACTCGGGGTTCTTACCAAAAATGACAAAAATATTCATCAAAATTAGAGAATTGAAGATATCATCATGAAATGAACAAATCTGAGAGTGGCTCACATGTAGTACATACATTGTATATATGTAATATCAAAGCAGTTGGAAATATCACTTTTTACCAAAAATGACAAAAATATTCACCAAAATTAGAGAATTGAAGATATCATCATGAAATGAACAAATCTAAGAGAGGTCTACCCAGGGTACATATACACCAAGTATCAAAGCATTCAGGCTTGTAGTTTTCAAGAAGAATTAGAATAAGTAAAACATTGACACGGACGACGACGGACAATCACTCATATGATAAGCTCGCTCGACAAAGTTGACAGCGGAGCTAAAAACTTCAAATGCAAACATAATTCACATGCAAAGTAAACAAAATTATCGCGAGTGACTTTAGATTTATTGAAATGTTGCGACACTGCCATCCATCATGCAAAGCCAACAAAGTAGTATAAATTGTAAACAAATATTTTTGCAAATATTATGAATGATTTACAATATACTGGAGTTTGTCATTTGTTTAGCCCAATTGGCAATGAACAGAAAGTGGAATTTGTGCATCGTTAGCATAAAAGAAAGTGTTGAAAGATGACATTTACAATAGTTGTGATGGTAACAAACAAGCAGCCTATCGGCTGAGATAGCTCCACTGTTAGCAATGCACATTTCAATTAAAGAACTGAAGACATCATTAGAAAATGAACAATATGTATCGTATCAAAGCAATCTGACTTACAGTTTTTAACAAGAAGTCGAAAATATCACTTTTTACCAAAAATTACAAAAATATTCACCAAAATTAGAGAATTGAAGATATCAACATGAAATGAACAAACCTAAGAGAGGTCTACCCAAGGTACATATACACCAAGTATCAAAGCATTCAGGCTTGTAGTTTTCAAGTAGAAGTCGAAAAAGTAAAACATTGACACGGACGACGGACAATCACTTACATGTATATGATAAGCTCCGCTCGACAAAGTCAACAGCGGAGCTAAAAAAGCCATGCATGGCACAGTCCCCGTTAGTTATCAAATTTAAGATATATAGTTTTGTTTATAGTAATATAGCTGCAATATAAACATGTCAGGAATAAGATCATGATGATTGTTTAACATTTAAATGATTGACATTTGTATCTGATCGTCAAACGAGTATTGAGAGATACATTTGTATTGCTCTGGAACAGCATTAATTAAAACAAAATCAGCTATTTTGAAAACATGTATAATGAATATATAAAATTTGAACATAGTCAGTCAAAGCATGTCAGAGATATTGCTCTAGAAGACAATTCATTAAAACAAAATGGCCACTAGTCAGCCATTCTGAATCCGATCTAAAAAATAAAATAACGTGCATCAGGAACCAGTAG